AGGAGTCTTATGTAAAAAACATATCATCTACTTTATCAGCGGTGTTCCACTTAGCATTCATGGGGGGAAATGGGCAGTCAGTCCCCTTTCTCAAGGTACACAGATCTTACAGTGGCTTTTACACAGTCCACCAGGCTGGCTGTTCCCTCAGGAATAACCTACTTTGTGTCTGGATCACATATAGCCATCTGTGCTTGTTCCGTAATGAGACAAATCCTGCATCAACCCAAACATGCTCTTCCCCCACTGCAGCATTTAAAACCAAATACTGCTCCTAAATTAATTATTCTCACAGAACATCTTAGTAAAGGTTCTTCAGGAAGCTGTTACTGATGCACAAAATGAAACAACTCCTTCACAGGATACTCCCTGGTTTCAAACAGTTCTTGGTTTTGTCCTTCCCTCACACCAACTACCTGCTTGGTGACCAGAGATCTAGGAGTACTTTCTGTTGTCCTTGCCCAATTTTTCCCTTGGGGTGAGTAGCCAAAGTTCAGACTCACTGAAATCTGAGCTTGGATCAAGGTCTGACTCAGCACTCTTTTAATTTCATTTTAGCTAGTACAGGCAATAGCTGAGGGATTGAACCAATGCGCTGGGAACTGGATCCACCTCTAAACTCCATCAGTAACTTTTATCTTTAGTGACTGAGGGCAGTACAGCTACTGCTCCAAACTTTGGGCGACCACACAGCCAACAAGGAATCAAAGGTCTCATATTCCCCACCCTTTATCCTTTCTTTTCCCAAACCACATGTTTCCGTGACTAGGGTCATTCTAGCAAATCTCACTTCTGTGATACCAAATGTTCAGGAAAACTTCCCTGTGTTAAAAGAAGAAATACTCAATGACATTTGTTAAAACCCAGTAAGGAGCCTTATTCAAGGCGGTGCAGGTTATTTCTATAGGTACAGGGACCACGTGATGAAATGTTTTTATGGGGAAGAGACTGGGCTCAACTCCGAATACTGCATGGGCAAGTGGGAATTTATAGCCGAGGAGCAGGGCTGCAGCCAAGGCCAGTGGATAGAAAATTACTAAGAGAAAACAAGAGCGGTAAGGGGGGTTCGGGCTAACAGACCTAACTGAACTCTTCTCAAAGACAGGCCAGGGTGATTAGACATCACTTAGGGTATGGTGGAAGATAAGAAACTCCATCAGATATCAAGAGTGATCAAATACTGAGGGTGGGGGCTTCTTGCTAAACTAACTTACCGGGTTTCTTGCATAAACTGTATTTTATAGTAGGTACCTTTCAAACAAAGAAGCTTCTTACAAACAGCTGCTTGCCTGGGACTCTAATCCAGCCTGTGTTTATCTGGGACTCTATCCCATCTTTTGGAGTATACCCAGACTCCTAAGAATCAAAATCTGTCCTTACCAGCTTCCACGGACGTTTGTCCGGAGCAATGGTTCAGGAGTCGGACTCACCAATGGATCCCCGATCAATCAGTCAGGAGGAAGGTAAAAGCTTCAAAGGTATGCACTTAGGGTCCTGGGTGAGAGGTCCGGGGGTCCAATGATGAATCTGATCCTATGGGTGTTGTGGCACCATAACTGTTAAAAGGAAAAAAATATTCAATGATACTTGTTAAAGCATGGTAAGGAAGACTTTGAGGAATAGGGAGCTAGGCATAGGGAGCACTGCAATGAAATTTTTTAATGCAGGTAAGAGACTGGGCTCAGCCCAGCTGGGCATGGCTCGGCAGTTGAGCATCAACCTAGGATCCAGGAGATCAAGGTTTGATTCCTGGTAGGGGCACATGCCCAGGTTGCAGGCTCAATTTCCAGCAGGAGGAGTGCAGGAGGCAGCTGATCAATGACTCTCTCATCATGGATGTTTCTATCTCTCCCTCTCCCTTCCTCTCTCTAAAATCAATAAAGACATATTTAAAAAAAAAAAAAAAAAGAGAGAGACTGGGCTCAACTCCAAATACTACCTGTGTATATGGGAATTTAAAAGCTAAGGAACAGAGTAGGGTCAATGGATAAAAAATACTAAAAGAAAACATCAAGGGGAAGAGGGCTCTGACTTAACAGACCTAACAGGACTCTTGCTAAAAACAGGTAAGAGAGGTCAGACATCACCTGGAACATGGTATAGGGAAGGAACTCAATCTAATATCAACGGTAGGGGCTTCTTGCTGAAACTGCATTTTACAAGGATATGCACAGACCGCCTAGGAGAAGGTTCAGGAGCCTAACTAAACTTTGATCAAGCAAAAAATTTTTGTCACCTGTTTCTTCCTTTACTCACATAATACTTCTGATACGAGATGTGTGGGGTTTTCTTCTTCCCTACACCAATCATTTCTCCAAAACCAGCCAGGTGTCCTGCAATTCAATTCAATTCTGACACTAACTGGAGTTAATGCAGACCTCAGTGGGTAAGGGCTCAGTCCCACAGACTGCACCCCCACTGAAGACACCAATCCCAAGTAGTAGGACCCAATGTTACCCACAATTTCTGTCCCACTTGGCTACAAATCAGAGGTTCCCATGACCCCCTCATTAGTCAATCACCTGCTAGAACAGCTTACAGAACTCAGGGAAACACTTATGTTTACTGGTTTATTATATAATAAAAGATATGATAAAGGACACAGTCAGATGAAGAGATACATAGGGTGAGATCTAGAAGGGTCCAGTAAAGGAGCTTCTATCCCCGTGGAGTTGGGAGTTCACAACCCTCCTGGCACGTAGATGTGTTCACCAACCCAGCAGCTCTCTAAACCCCAGAGATTTGGGGATTTTTATGGCAACTTCATCATATAGGCATAATCATTTATTAACTCAATCTCTAGCCCTTCTCCCCTTCCCGGATGAAGCGGAGTGGGGCTGAAAGTCCCAAGATTCTATTGATGGATTGGTCTTTCTGGTGACCAGACCCCATCCTGAAGCTATCCAGAGCCCACCAAGAGTTGTCTCATTAGGTCAAAAGACATTCCTATCATCCAGGAAATTCCAAAGAATTTAGAAGCCCTGAGTCAGAAAATAAGGTCAAAGACTAAATATTAAAAAGAAAGATGCTCTTAGTACTCTTATCCCTTAGAAAATTACAAGGGCTTCAGGAGCTCTGTGCCAGGAACCAGGGGCAGATATATTTCAAAAGCCAGGATTAATGCATTTTGTCTACAATCTTTTTTATAATGGCCACAAGGTCAAGCATTTGAGTTTGAATCACTAATATATTTAGGCATTGCATGTGTTCTAAAAATTCAAAGTTATATAAAGAAACCCATGTGTACCTACTGGTTTTATAGGTGAAGGCAACTTACAAAGACTGTTACACTTCTCAATCTAAGACAGCATAATCCCAGCTTTTCATATTCTAAGAGTTGTTCTGCTAATGTAAGGCTTTCATCCAATTACATTTTTCCAACAAAATTGCTCTCCAAGGCATTTCACTTCACCTGAAAATGCCAATTTCATTCTAGAACATTTAAAATTTTTGAATGTCATTTGACTTTAGGACATTTATCTCAATTAAGCAAAAGTCAAACCTAGACACAAAATACATGTATCTTATGTAAAACTATTTCTAATTATTGTTTACCCACCAATCAAGGATCTTAGAAAGTAGGCCACATTTATTTCAATTACAACTAAATGAAGTTGTGTTGTTTTGAAACCTGCACCAGATTTACTCTGTCATAATCAGGTAGCTGTTCCAAGAATTTCTTAGAAAAAGGCACTTGCTGCATTACAGAAACGCTGTGCTGGGTTTAATTCAGACTATGTTGCACAGCGATATAAATTTTTAAATTTTATTTGCATCAACAGAACCAGAGCTAGCTACAGGTGTCACATCATAAAACAACAGAAAACATTTTATTATATTACAGATCTTTGCTATTAACAGCATTTGGTTTCTTAAGTTACCTTCATTTTCTCAAGGAACTTATGAGGTAGCTTTCTTTCCTCTCTATCCTAACCTATTTGCAAATGAATAAATAACCTCTGAATAAATAGCAGAGACAGAGGGACCTTCTATTTGTATCCTATTTTCCACAGAATATCCAAACAGACCCTCATATTTTAATTGCACCTCAAGCTATTCTTTCTTCATGACAAGTCTTTTTTGGAGCCGGCTGTACTAGAAGTCTGACAATTAATAAATGAATTGCTCAGTTAGCAGCAGAGAAATAACTGTATGCTAGTGGTTAAGAAGGCCCATAACTGCAGCATTTAATAATACCTACTGTTGCTCCTAATGCCACCAGGCTGACTCAGACCAGTGAGCTCTCCCGCTGCCACTAACACAGGCCTGTCAAAATGAGCACTTAGCAGCGGAGTCTCCAGAAGAACTCGACCAATCACTGTACTTGCTTCTCACACGTAAACAAAGAGGGCTGATTTTTAGGTTCTCTCCCACAAGAAATGCACTGAAAACAATTCAAGCATCAACATGATTTTAGGAAAGAACACTCCTTTCCTCAATGAGCCCAAGAATGCTGCTTATAAAGGTGTATTTGTTCGGGGTAGTCCTAGCTCTCCTAACCCATTCAGTTTTAACCTTGTAACGTATCAAAACTGCAGCACGGAAGGAGCCGAAATGCAAACTAGGGACAAAAGACAGCTCATGCGTCTCCGGCCGTCGTGGTTATAAAATCACAGGCCTGGGGACCACTCAAGCCGAGGGACACACTGGGCGATGTAGCCCAGTGCGGGCGAGGAGCCCTGACCCCCCGAGTCAACGCCGGGCCCAGGCCCACGGAGCCCTTAACAATACCCCGCCCCAGGTCCTCCCCACCCAGGACCCCGAGCCTCCCGGGCCCCAAGGATCTTAACTCGGGTCTTCGCACACAAGCCTCCGGAACCTTAGCGCCAGGTTTTCCAGCGCCCCTGCCCCCCAAAGTCCCTAACGTCGCGATGGCATCTCTCCTCAGAACTCAGGCTCCCGACCGCGCCCTCGGGCCAGGCCAGTTCCCCTCAGTCGGCCCTGGAAGGGGAGCGCCCCTCTCCGTAGGCGCCCCCACCCCGTCCGGCCCCTCTACTCACAGGCTGACGGCGTCAGGGGGCAGCGGACTCGCCAGCGCCCTCCAGCCCGGCGCTGGGAGTTTCCTGCGACTGCAGTCCAGCAGGGGGCTGCGGCAGGAGCAGGGCGCGGGGCAGAGGCCTGCGCGGGCGGCCGGCAGCAGGACGACGAAGGCCTGGGCGAGGAAGAGGAGCCGGGAAAGGGGTCCGCACCGACCCTGCAGCAGCGGCTCCTCCCGGACGCCTCGGGGCGCCGGCGCCATTTTCCCCCCCGACCTGGACCCCGCCGAGAAGAGCCGCCAGCTGGAAAGGGCGGCTCCGCGTAGACGGTTAGCGACTGCACGACCACCCGAAGCCCGGCTGTCGCCCGTATCCTCTCAAGACAGGCGAGGGGCGGACACGGCGCGGCGGCGGGGGCGGCGACCCAGGACATAGGGCTCAGGCCCCACAGACAACGCTCCTCTGCCCCGCCCCGCGACGCAACGTCGTCACGCACAGGACCCAACCAATCGCTGCCACGGGACGGGATCGCGTCGGAGGCGGGACTCCGTGGAGGGGGCGGGGCCGGAGACAAGGCGTTCCTTGAGAAGGACTCCAAGGTGTGGGGCGCCCCGGGCGCCCTTCTGGATTTCCCGCGTCCCTCCGCTGGAGGGCGCAGTGGCTCCTTAAGAGGGGGCAGGGAGCCCCCGCGCTGAGAGTTGGCAGTCCTGACGGCGTTTATCTACTATGGCAGCGATTTTTAAACCCGTTTGCCGCAAGACTATTTAAAACATGCAAAACCTATTTAGTGAGGGGCACGGACCTCTTTTCCCTTAGATTGTCTAATAAAAAAATGACAACAGCCAACACACAACAGCGCTCCGTCCTGAATGCTCCGTCTTGCGCCATAAATTACAGGTCCTATAACAGAGTTGCATTTTATTGGGCACGTCACATAATAAGATTGCGTCTGATTGGTTAATTTTGAATACTAGAAATCTTTCTTTTTTTATATATTTATTTTTATTGACTTAAGAGAGGAAGGGAGAGGGAGAGAGAGAGAAGCACCAATGATGAGAGTCATTGATCCGCTGCCTCCCGCATGCCCCCTGCTGGGGATCAGCCCGCAACCCCAGCACGTGCCCTGACCGGGAATCGAACCCCGATCTCCTTGAACACAGGTCGATGCTCAACCGCGGAGGCGCCCCGGATGGGCCAGAAATCTTTAACACACATATATACTATATGATATATAATATAGATCACGTGTCATATAAGATATACATAAATATCTACTGTATGAGGTGTAACGTATCATATATGTGTGTAAAACATAGTATTCCAGGCATATTCATTATAAAAACTCGGCACCAACTTGGAATACAGTGAACCTCCCTAAGTTGTTAAAGGGTATTTGCCAAAACCTGCAGCAAACTGCCTAAAAGTAAAACAGTAAAAATACTCATATTAGGATCAAGAAAATGATGCCTATCACTGCTCCTAATCAGTCCAGCAAAAGGTCCTAACCAGTGCAAGAAAAAATATTAACAGTATAATGATCTTAAAGGAAGAATAAAACTACCCTTATTCACATATGATTTGATTATCTGAAGGAAAAAACCCAAAAGAATCTTCAGGTAAATGATTGGAACTAGTAAAAAGGTTCAACATACTAAAATCAATATTATTCTAATAAATCAGCAATTATAAAATATACTTTTCAAAAGCTAGCATATGCAACAGCAATAAAATCTAGATGCCTAGATCAAAGAAGTGTAAGAGAAAACGTATATGGAGAACACTACAAAACATTATTAAAAAGTATTTTTAAAAGATCTAAGTAGATGGAGAGTTATACTATGCTTTTAAACCAAAAGAATCATTATTATAAAGGTGTCAGTTCTCCCAGGTTAATTTGTAGATTTAATACAATCCGAATAAAAATCCCCAATGGACATGATAGTGCAAGGCTAACGTAATAGCAAAGACACTCTTGGGGGGGCGGGGAATGTAGAAGAACTCGCTTTACCAGATATCAAGATAGGTTTTGAAAGCTATAGTAATTAATTTAAAAGTGTAGTGTCGCCACAGGGAAAGTTAAATAGACTTTTGATGCATGTCAGAGACTTCATGGGACGTCGATCTTATTATGTGACATGCCCAATGCCACAAGTGGAACTTAGACCAGGGGAGAAAGGACAGGCTTTTCAATAAACAGAGCTGAGATCATTAGACAATCACTTGGGAAAAATGAAACTGGATCCTTTCTCATGTCACATTCAAAAATCAGTTCAAGACCTAAAAATGAAAGGCCAAACCACGCAGCTTTTAGAAGAAAATAGTAAAGACTATCTTTTCCACTTTGGAGTAGCAAAGGGTATCTGAAAAGGGAAAAAATCATTAACCATAAAAGAAAATGAAAGGCCAAACCACGCAGCTTTTAGAAGAAAATAGTAAAGACTATCTTTTCCACTTTGGAGTAGCAAAGGGTATCTGAAAAGGGAAAAAATCATTAACCATAAAAGAAAAACACAATAAATTTGAATACATTAAAATAAATTTTCATACACAAAAGACATCATAAAAAGATATTTGCAAAACACATGACCAACAAAGTATCAAGAATTTGCACCCAGCCAGGCGTGGCTCACCGGCTGGGCATCAACCTAGGATCCAGGAGATCGCGGTTTGATTCCCGGTCAGGGCACATGCCCGGGTTGCGGGCTCGATCCCCAGTTGGGGGCGTGCAGGAGGCAGCCAATCAATAACTCTCTCTCATCACTAATGTTTCTATCATCTCTCTCTCTCCCCCTCTCCCTTCCTCTCTCTGAAATCAATAAAGACATATTTTTAAAAAAGAATTTGCAAAGAATTCCTGCAAATCAATGAAATAAAGGCAAACAACCCAAAAGAAAACGTTAATGTGCCCTTCCAAAGAGGAAAAAAAAAATAGCCAAAAAACACATGAAACATTACTCAATCTCATTATTTGTCATGGAAACTGAATACTAAAATCACAATGAAATACCACTGTACACATCAGATTGACAAAAATTATAAAACCTGACAATCCCAAGTGTTTGTAAGAAAGTGGAGCAATGAGGTGTCTCTCCAAAGGCTAGTGGGATGGGAGTTAGTGTAACCACTTTGGAAAGCAGCATGGCATTATTTAATAAAACAGAAAACATACATGTGTCATGATCCAGCAATTCCACGTTTAGGCATACACCTTAGAGACGGGCATGCTGATACATCCGGATGTATATACCAACATGTTGAGAGCAGTATTATAACAATTGCCAAAGATTGGAAACAACCCAAACAATGTTGAGCCAAAAATCCAAATTGCAAAGGAGTGCATACTAATTACTCTTTTCATGTAAAGCTTAAACACGAGGAAAACTACTTTATTTAGAGGTGCATACACAGGCAGTAAAACTATAAAGAAAAGCAAAAAAAAAAAAAATTCCTATAAAAGTTCACTGTGATTGGTAAGGAACATATGGGGACTTCTGGAGTTTCAGTAGTATTCTGTTTTCTTTCTTCTTTTTTTAAATCCTCACCTCGGGATACGTTTTCCATTGATTCTAGAGAGAGAGAAAGGGGGAGAGAGAGGGAAAACACCCATGTGAAAGAAGCATCCGTACAAGCCCCGACTGGGGGTCAAACCTGTAACCTGGTTATGTGCCCTGACTGGGAATCGAGCCCTAGACCCTTGAGTGCACAGGACGACGCTCTAACCAACTGAGCCACACCAGCCAGGGCAGTGTTCTGTTTTCTTAACCTGAGCGGTGGTTACATGGGTTTTGCTTTATAACCATAATGCAGATTCCTATATTTTATATTTTATAACAGAATGGTTAAAAATGACAAGACTGTCGAAATGAATCATAAGTGCAATGCAATTCTAATAAAACATTTTATGAAACCTGACAAGTCGATTCTAAAATTATAAACATGAGCAAAGGGCCAAGAAGAACCAAGACTGTTTTTATAAGAAAAAGTTAAGTCAATGGCCTACTCCCCCAGATAATAAACTTAGAATAATGTTCTAGTTTTTAAGAAACTGGGGAAGAGCTATAAGGATAAACAAATAGTCTAACAGAACAGACTGGAGAGTCCAAAAGTCAAGTCATGCACACAAGGGAAGTTGATATAAGACTCAGGTCACATTAGAAAGCAATAAGAAATGAATGTATTAATTTACAAATATGCTGGAAAACAGGAAAAAATAAAATTAGATCCCCAAATCACACTATAATGAAAATAAAACCCTAATAGAATAGAGACCAGGGTAGAGAAGGTGTGACAGAAACTACTCCTTGCCCACAGAATCCACTCTTCCAGGACAATCACAATGTAGCTGGGCACCCCTACAGGTGGGTCTGGTAATGACCCCCTTGGGATGTGAGTAGAAATGATGGGTGCCCCTTGCAACTCTGGGATTTGACATTAGCTATGCCTCCCTCTCCTCTTTCCTGCTGGTCGCAATCTAAATATGACAGTGATCCAGCTTTGTCTGTGCAAGATGGTGATATGCCAGAGAGGATGGCAAGCCCACCAGACGGCATGAACCTGGGCCCCTGAATGACTAGGCACAGCCAAGCCAGCTTAGCCATCAGAATACTCATCTCTGGACTGTTTTGTGAGAGAGAAATAAATGTCTCTGTTTTTAAAATCATTTTATTTTGGGATATCTCTTTTACAGCATCTCAGTCTCACTGACACGGAAATATTTTGTAGCCATGACTCAAAGAGCACCAAGGAAATGGGAAAGTGCTGATAAATTTGAAAATTCGGATGCATTAAAATAAAAAATATCTAATCATAAAATACCATAACTAATGCGAAAATACAAACTATGATTGAAAGAAGATATTTATAACGCATATCCAGATTATATTAAAAATTCCTTGGAACAGTCTAGAAAAGATAACCCAATAGAAAAATAGTCAAAGGAAGTAAATATGAAATCACAGAAGAAACCAAATGGCTAAATAAACATGTAAAAAATGTTCAACTTTAACAATAATGAATAAATACAAATTAAACCTACAGAAAATACCATTCACATCCAAAAATTGGCAAATTTAACAAAATATTAAAGTCTTGCAATACCAAATGGTGGCAATGAGTAACAGGAACTCTGTACCCAATTTTTGTAGCAGATTAAATCAATATAGCCACTTTGGAGTTATACGTAACTTGGAAAGCTCTAGCAAAGATGAAGATGCACATTACTATGATGCAGTTATTGCATTCCTAGGTATATAACCTAGAAAAATTCTCATACAATGGTGTCAAGGGACATACACATGAGTGTTAAGTGCAGCATTATTTCTAATAGCTAAAAATTGGAAGCAACCTAAATGTCCATCAACAAGAAAATAGATTGTAGTAGCACCAAAGAGAAATCTCAAAACTTAATGGCAAATGGGAAAAAAGCAAACCGCCAGCAGATATGCACAGGATTTTGAAAATACAGAAAGTTAAAAATATGCAAAAAATACTATATAATAGCCCAGCCAGTGTGGCTCAGTGGTTGAGCAACCCATGAACCAAGAGGTCCCAGGCTTCAATTCCCAGTCAGGGCACATGCCCGGGTTGCAGGCTTGATACCCAGTAGGGGGCGAGCAGGAGGCAGCCGATCAATTTCTCTCTCTTTCTCTCTCTCTGTCTCTATCTCTCTCCCTAAAATCAATAAAAACATTTTTTAAAAATACTATGTAATAAATATGCAGTAAAAACATGCATGTGAATGATAAACACCAAATTCAAGAATGTTGTGGCCTCTGTGGAGAGGTGGGGAATAGATGTGAGAGCTCGTCTACTCATGCATATTTTAGATTGTCTTGACCTGGGACTAAATGAAAGTCTGCCTGGGGGCCTCCAGAGCAGGGGAAACAAAACTCCATGAAAGACCCTTTTTATATTCCTTTAGACCTGCAAACATTCCTATTTACAATTCTGTTTTAACTTAATTTCCTTCCCTCCATTGTAATTATTTTCAAGCTGTCTTCAAACATACATCAGCGTGCTTAAATTTCAGCAAGTATCAGAATCACCTGAAGGGCCTGTTAACACACAAACTGTTGAGCTGAGCCCCCAGAGTTTCTGATTCGGTAGATCTGGGGGGACACTTGAGAATCTGCATTTCTAACAGGTTTCTAGGTGATGCTGTAGCACCTGGTCCCTGGACCACACTTTGAGGCCTACAGGAAAGCCTATTGTACACAGCACACGTGTTTTTGCGAGTGTGGGGAGTTAGGGACAGAGCAGTGAAAGAAATCGTGGCATTCTGCACATTCTCTTTGGACTGAGGCCCGCAGAGAAGCTCGTAATTCTAGGCGGTGAGCAGGAGCGCTGACAGTGCAGCAGGGAGGAGCCGGCTGTCAGCAGAAAGAGTTTGATAGGAACCCCAAGATATAAGCCTGAACAGGTATGTGTAGTGTAGCTGACCGAGGGAATTACTGGCCTGATTTCCCATCAAACCATGACCTCATGACACCTCTCTCTCTCTCTCTCTCTCTCTCTCTCTCTCTCTCTCTCTCTCACACACACACACACACACACACACACCCTGGCTCCCTCCCCCCAGTGGTGTGCGGGGGAGGGGGTTGAAAATGCTGACTCCATTCTGGCCCAGCAAACCAACCTGCCCCGGGCTGCTTGAGCTTCTGAGCTAACCTGTTAGTCTCACTATCCTTTACCCTCCTAAGGCTGAGAGGGCACCTGCTGTCACTCTGGATGGGGCATTGTGACGGTTTAATAGGCCCTTGGGAACCTCAGGGCTTGGTTATTCTCAGCAATCAGCAGGAGCAGTCGTGCGTTTCCCTGCCCTCCAGCCTCACCCTGTTTACCAGCTTGCCGGGCCTGGAATGCGCCCACAAGTGAAAGCCCGGGGAACTGGCGTGCGTGCCTGCACATGCACGTGTGTGTGCGAGCTCACATGCCCAAGAGAGAGTCGAAGGCCAGTGCACAGAAGGCCAGAGGCCTCAGGGTGGTCATTATCTCCAGGGCAGAACCTTCCAGTCCCTGAAAGGGACCCTGGTGCTCTGCCAAACAGCCAGACTCTCACTCTGGCTGTTCTCACTGATATAATGAAGTTCTCACTGATTATCCTGATGGTGTCCCAGGAGACCCCGCCCAGGGAGGCCCATGTGCTGCCAACCCTGGCTCCTTGTTCCACTCCCCAGCAGAAAGGAGGCTGTCCCCGAAGCTCCCCCACCTCACTTCCCCAGGATAATGCACATCCCCAAGGGACCCTGCTCCTGGGACTAAACTGAAATGACAGTAACCATTTATTAATTGGACTAATGAGAGGCCGTCTGGCAGGGAGACAGAGAAGCTGGAGGAGTGAGGAGAAAGCAGTTGAGACAGGAACATCCCAAATCGCAAGAGTTCAAGGCCAAACTTCAGACTCAAAGCAGACTCTCATTTTCTGAGAGTCTGAGGCCAGAGCAGGCAGGAATTTGAAAGATGGTTTTATGAAAGTTGTATTTTTTTATTTATTTAGTGATTTTTAGAGAGAGAGAGGAAAGGAGAGAAAGAGGAAGGGAAAGAGAGAGAGAAACATCGATTTGTTGTTCCATTTATTGATGCATCATTGATTGATTCCTGTATGTGCCCTGACCAGGATCGAACCTGCATCCCTGGTGTGTCAGGACAATGCTCTAACCAACTGAACTACCCAGTCAGGGCCAAAACTTGTATTTCTTTATAGGAAACACACTAATATTTCATCAGCAAATTGTAATGGCCCCATTTCCTGAATGCCTATGTTCCAGGCACTTCTCTGTTACATGTACATATCTCAGTTCATCTTCACAAAATTCATGAGATAGAAATCCTTACATTCATGTTGCCCAGGAGAAAACTGAGGCCCAAAGAGGTTTGTCCAAAGTCACATTTGTGTTAAATAACAGAGCCCAAATTCTTAACCACTGCCATTGTGCGAAGTGCTAGGAAATGAAGCTCCAAGCACCCATTAACGTGGCACTGACTGAGCATTCCTCCTTATCAGGCAGAGAGTGGCAAGCCCTTTACAGGTGGCAGCACCCCCCCAACCCTATAATATAGGTAGGTTGATTTTCCCTGTCTTACAGGTAAGGAAATGTAGGTTCAGAGAGGTGAAGTAATTTGCCTAAGGCCACTCAGCTAGAAAGTGTCAGAAGGATCTGATGTCCACCTGACTTCTTACCCTATTTCCTTGCCTCCCTTAGTCTCTCTTGGCCCTGACGTCCTGCAGCCATCTTGCAAAAGACAAGGAAGAAGTTCCAGTTAAACAGAGGTGATCAGGATCGCAGTGAGACCTAGCCTACAGACCTGCAGCCAACCCTGAGTGTGAAGGACATGCCTGCCAGGACCTGCGATGGGAAGCTTGTAATACATGCAAATGCAAGGCTTCTTCCTCCAGGGCCACCTCTGTGTGGCTCACTCCCCTGTCCAGGCAGAGGCAGGAAGTCTTCCTCAAGGTTTTAAGATTTAAATTATTTTCCTGTTGATGAGGCCACCAGCAGCTCTGTCCTTCTTGTCTGCCCTCCAGAAGCAGGTTCCAGCTGACCAGCCATGGGGAACCTGCTGCTTA